GATGAAATCTCTTCATGATAATAACACTTGGGAGCTGATTGAGAAACCTGCAGGGGCCAGGTTAGTCATTTGTAAGTGGATTTTCAAGGTCAAGGAAGGAATCAAATGAGTGATATCGAAGCACTTTAAGGCAAGCATGGTTGCTAGAAGGTTCAATCAGAAAGAAGGTGTCGAATTCAATGATGTGTTCTCACCTGTTGTAAAGCATAGACCCATTAGAACATTGTAAGCCATGGTGGCGAAGCTCGACCTAAAACTTGAACAAATGGATATGAAGACTTCCTTTCTATATGGTGATCTAGATGAAACGATCCTGATGCGACAACCTCGTGCGTATGCGAAAAAGGATAAGGAAGATTATGTGTGCAAGCTGAATAGGTCTTTGTATGGCCTTAAACAATCTCCTCGATGGTAGAACAGGAGATTCGAAAAGTTCATAGCATACATTGGTTTCACTAGGATGCAGTTTGATCATTGTGTTTACTTCATATTTTAACCTAGAAACCCACTTGTTATTTTGTTGCTTTATGTGGATGATATCCTCATACATAGCAAACATTGGTTTCACTAGAAACCCATTTGTTATTTTGTTGCTTTATGTGGATGATATCCTCATAGCACACATTGGTTTCACTAGGATTCAGTTTGATCATTATGTTTACTTCAGATTTTAACCTAGAAACCCACTTGTTATTTTGTTGCTTTATGTGGATCATATCCTCATACATAGCAACAATGTTGAGGATGTAATAGAGGTGAAGGATGAACTCAATAAGGAGTTTTAAATGAAGTTGCCACCCAGATTCTTGGGATTGACATCCTGAGCGATGGAAAGCAGTTAAAGTTATGCTTATCTCAAGAGACATATCTATTGAAGGTTCTCAACCAGTTTAGAATTTCGAATTCAAAGCCTGCTGTGACTTCGAGAAATCCTCAGTTTAAGCTTAGTACTACTCAAAGTCCGAGTAATGAAGCTAAAAGAATCTATATGAGTAGAATTCCATATTCTAGTATAGTAGGTTCTTTGATGTATGTTATGGTTTGTAGGAGGCCAGACATAGTGTATGGAGTGATCCTTGTGAGCAGGTATATGGCCAATCTTGGAAAGATGCACTGACAAGCTTTAAAGTGGATTCTCAGGTACATAAATGGGTCTTTGAGTCGAGTCCTGATTTATAGTGGAACCTATGGTGATTATAGCAAAGTTGAAATCGAAGGATTTGTCGACTTTGATTATGTAGGTTGTATGGATTCCAGAAAATCTATTTGTGGATATGTGTTCACTATGTTCGGCACGATGATCAGTTGGAAAGTGTCACTTCATAAGCTTGTTGCCTTATCAACCACTGAAGCTAAATATATTGCCCTCACTGAAGCTGTGAAAGAAGGATTGTAGCTTAAAGGTTTTGCAAAGGAGCTAAAAATTCAAGGTCGACTCATCATTGTTAAATGTGATAGTCAAAGTGCAATACACCTGTCGAAGAATTCAGCCTATCATGAGAAAACCTAGCACATCAATGTAAGGCTGCACTTTGTCAGAGAGATAGTCGAGTGTGGTGAAGTCCAGGTGCTGAAGGTTTTGACTGATGATAATGTTGCTGATAAGATCGCCAATACATTGTCGAGTTGCAAGTTTTTTCACTGTATGCAATTGATAAAGTTGCATGATGAAAGCTAGTTTATTCCTTGATTGTTTGTAGAGTTAGTTCATAGGTGGAGATTTGTGAGATATTGAATCGAACTCTAGTGTTGTCGACTAGGATGTGTCGAATGGGATAACTTTGATGATTCGACAGGAGACAAGCATGAAGTCGGAGATTATTCACATGCTGATGTCGAAGTGTTTACATACTGTAGTCGAAGTCAATTCTCGTATGTAGTGTCGAATTATTATGTCAAATTGGGCCTTGTATTAAGGATCCAGTTGTTTAGGTTAGCTTGTTATATAAGTTACCTATTAGTCTATAAATAGGCTAGATCACTCGAATTGTTGAGTGAGGTCAATTGTGTTATTCACTTGTAATCATTTGCAATATTGAGTAAGTAAATAGAAAATAGTTTGTCCAAATCCTTCTTCGACCTTTCTTCTTTATCTTTTCTTCTTTCTCTTTTTAAAAACCTAACAGTCTCATTGTTCATCAAGAAACTTCATTTCTCATTCAAGAAAGTGTTGAAAGGTATCAGTTGTAATCACGACACCTTGGATAAGTAAATTTCATAAGCGTTGAGTACAAAATATAGAGCTTTGTCAACTCTGTAAACACATAATTCAGAGTCAGAGTACCCAGTTTCAGAGTCTGATGACGTCACACGTCCTATAATCAGAGTCAGAACTTGTATATAAAATCTGCACAACGAATAAAATAATTAGGGTACAAAATTGTTCTTTAAAGCATTATGTATTGTTATCACTAAAACATAAGGGCATATGCATAACCAAATCTTATTATAACACTACGAATGTATAAGTCTTTTGAATTAAATGCTTCATCCTTCTTCTTTATCTCTTAATGATATGTCTTGATTGATTTTAAAAAAGTTTCCCGCTTTTTATTATGATCTATATGCTTGCACTTTTTTTCTCTGCCTTTTTTATTATGCCAAAAAGGGGAAAATTATACTCTCAAGGAGAGTAGAGTATACTTTCTTTATCTGTCAGAGGGAATTTAATCACTCTAAATCTTTACCCATCATTTTCTTTTTTACCACCTACCTAAGAGATGCATTGTCATCATAAAAATAGGGAAGAATATGGATCTATATGCTTGCAAGTATAACCATCAGTTGGTTTTTACGATGACAACTGATGAAATAACTTTAAAGATAAACAACTCCATAAGTCAAACAAATTTTTGGATGTTCAAAGTTCTCAATGCTAGTGGGAATTGATTCCAACTGTCAAAGAAAATTTCCTGATGATGACACGTGATTAAGAAGATATCTCAAGCCCCATAAGTCTGAATATTCAACTTTTAGATGAAGATTTGAAGTTGAGAAAGTGTGAAAGCTCGCCTGATCTTGTAATTAGTGTCTTAGAGTGATCAATATAATTGTAAAAGGTCAATAGTAAGTCTTGAAGTACTATGACAATCACACACATATAAAAGTTTTTAAAACTCTATTTAATCTTTTAAAATTTCTTGAAAACCTATTTAGGTCCGTGTGGAAGAATTATGGAGATATTAACCACACTCTTCTGAGTAACGAGAGATTAACTGTCCATCTCCCACATTCTCTCGTTAGTGTTTGTTATTCCAAGAGGCCTAAGATCCAGGCCTAGTTCAATTATAAATTCGTCAACCTTGAAGTTAAGAGAGAAAAATGTCATATTCATAAAAATACTATATACACTGAGCTTCCCACCTCCCTACAAGAGGTAGCTCTAAACCCTACTTCAAACTCAAAAAAAGTATGACAACCCTTAATCACTAGGGGTTGTCATGTATTGGACTTCTAGCAAGTACAGATTAATAAAATTATCTTTAAGTAAAAAGTTTATATAGATTGGTTTTGGTTTTTAATCAACATAATTCAATCCCTCTTGTGTTTGAAGTCACTTGACCAAAAATAAACATTGTTGAGCAGCTCATGTGCTCTTTGCATGTCTAGGTTGGCTTCGAGCTGCTGGAGGCTCTGAAGCATCTCTTGTTCAGGGATCAAAAGCTGTGGTGGAATTTGTTTATTAAAGCAACTATTGAGAAGATCGAAAAGTCGAAAGGATGTGGAATGTGCTATGGTCAACAACAAGAGGAAGTGGATTATGAGGAGTTGGAATAAAAGGAGAAGTCACTAGAATTGAACTAGTTCCTGATGTTGAAAGAGGTAGATCCTCTCTCGGTGGACGATGAGCGTTAAGCATCACAACTATAACGACATTATGTTGGTTGACTAGTCGAGTAAACTTGGATGTTGCCATGATTTATGTAAGATCGACCGAATGCGAGAGCAGAAAGAAGAAGATGAGCAGTGAGAGATAATTGTTTTTACACGAGTTACTTTGAGGGAATCAATAGTTGATTCTCAAATACGGCACCATCGTTTTGAGGTGGAACGAGAAATACATAATGATGAGGGAACAAGATTTTCTTGTGTGACGATAAGAGCTTTCGATGCGATGAGGCAGAGAGAGCCTGCAAATTTAGCATTCCAATGGCCAAATAAGTAAAGTCTATTAAGTGTAATTTGGGATTGAAAATAAGATAATACCTAAAATAGCGCATTCTTGGATTTATATATGATATATGATTAAAATTGTTTTCGTTTAATGCATGGATTCGTCTAATCAGATCGGACAAAAACTGTGCACTAATAGGTGAATCAAATGTCCGTGACGAGGTCTCACCAGTTCCTTTATCCAATAAATGGATATTTCAAAATGAATCTCACAATTAAGCTCTTTCTTTAAACTTGTGGCCGACCCATAACAAAGAGTTATTTGTGAACTATTTAAATTTGTCAAAGCCACGTTGATTTTATTTTAAAATTTCAATTTAGAGCTTTAAAAAATTCATCATTAATCTAAACTTACTATATTTTCTTTGAAAAAGTAAAGAATTAAAAACCTGGACAAACCTCAAATATATTTACAGAGACAGGGAATATTCATATAAACTTAAATATATGCCCATATTACTTTACTTTTAAGTGCATTGATATAAAATTATGATTCTGTACATTTTTTAATAAGCATTTTTTTTTTATAATATCAAAATTTTATTTCTTTATGTAACTAAACAATTATTTCTTAATTTGCATAGTAGCATTTAGAATATCATCCTAACATGAGACTTGTTCAAACCAAAGAGAGTAGGTAAGACATAAAAATTTGGAACCAAATTGAAATAAAATGTGCAATATATATATTCTCATAACAAAGGAACCATAAATCCATACAAACTAAATATCATGGAGTTACTTACTTTTCCATACATGTCATAAGCAATAACACTCTTAGGTAGAAGAAAATCACATTATTAAATAACAAGTTTAAGTGTTTTTAATCAGAAAAAGTCCTTGATTTTGTTATCAAGCACAAGTGTACTAAGTGCATAATAAGCCTTCTCTGTAGGATGATAACTATCCCAAAACACATAATCTGAAGGATTTGAACATGTGTTTATGCTGAAACGATTGCACAATATCCCAACTTCTATATTCCCTGTACCACAGCATCCTTTTTTTGTCTCATTAAAACCATACTTGGAAGGATTTTGAATGATCTCCATGAATGGATTGTAACAATCAAGATACACAAATTTAGCATCTGAGTAATTTCTCTCGAGTGTTTTCATTTTGATGTAGAGCTTAGTGTTGAAGAGTTTTGCTGCATTATTAGAAGTATTTGAACATTCTCTAAAAAAACCTCCATTCAGTGTTCTTTGTGATGGCACACACCCTATAGCTGGTATATTGAATACTCCAATCCTTCTACCTCCTTCTTCATATAGTTCCTGATGTAATAATAGAAGAAAATGATGTTTAGATATCAACAGAAAATGTTAGCTGTAAATAGCAATATTATCACAAGATTTTAGTTATTTGTCTAACACTACTCTACCTAAATTTGACTTTATTACAAGGTGTAACATAACACATAGCATGTCCTCGCGACCGTTTGTCTGACTCAATTTTTTTTTACTGTAGTTAAATAGGGTCTCGTAATATATCTGTCATGATTAAACCATGACTTTGAATCGTAATTAATCAACAGAGGTCTCTAAAAACTTAAGACCAGAGTCGTCTTTGAGGGCGTGTAAGGCGACCTATAGCGCAGGACTCACTTTTTCATGATTAAACTATAGAAAAAAGGTCTCTATACAAATATTTAACGGTTAATTTACGATTATATAGAGCCTCTTAAAAAAAATTCACTACTTAACTGAAGCTAATTTCAGCTTCTTACGCAGAGACTCTGAAAAGATTGAGACGACTCCGCTTAAGATGGTATACCTGTAAGAATTTTGAGGCTTCAGAAGCCATGAAATCTGTGTAGGATGGAATATCATATTGAACACGCCTAAATGGTGTTTGAGCATAAGTATTAGCAATGTCATCACTTCCTATACACACCATGTATATGCTCTTTGATATTATCAATGTCATATTCTTTCTTCCAACTGCTTCCTCCATCTTCTTCTTGTATTCCTTGAACCATTCTAATTGATCTGATAATGACTTCACAGCCTTATAACACGCAGAGACGTAAAATTGGAGTTAGATTTAATTCAGATATGCTTTAAAAAAAAAAAGTAACATGTGTCCGAGTGAGACACCAAATACATATTCAATATGAAGTATTAGTGCTAAGTAGTTACCATTATTTTCGAAGTTAGAGGATCATATCCGGAACCACCTGAGGCAAAGCTTACACCAGTGAGGAGATCTTTAAGTTGCAAATTAGGATCAAGATAAGCAGGTAAAATCTTCTTGACTTCAAATTTTTCAGCTGAAAATAAAAAGTTTGTTAGGAAATTGAAGAAAGAAGATTTATAATAACAAGTAGTCTTAAATTGTGTACCAATGATGTCTGATGGGACAACACCATTGCTGAATCTCCCAGTTGGATTTCCTCCTTGGAAATCTCTACCATATGGTGGAAAATTACATTTGATAATAGTGGTGATATAGTTGTTGTTTCCTGGATCAACTAAAGAGTCACCGAATACAAAAACTGCTGGCACTGATTCTTTGTTTGGTAGATTCAGAGAAGAAACATGTTGTAAGAGGATGGTTATGAAAGAACACCAACAAATTACTTCATGATGAAAGAGTGATTTCATGTTTTTCTATAACTAAGGTTTTCAACTTATGTTTTTGAAAGAAGTTATAATGACATTCTCACCTTGGTGCTCACAATTTATAGGAAACTTGGTGAGGTATAAATCTAGGTAATGCTATTATTAATATTGTTACATTATTATTGAGTGAATTTTGATACAAATTCAATTAGAAATAACTAGTGATTGCACTGTTAAAAAATTTAGAATCAACATGATCTTTCAAAATTCTACGATAAATATTAATCATTAATAAAACCGATAACATTATTTGCAAAAAATAGTTTTTAGAGATATTCGACTTTCTTTCTTGTAAGTAAAATAGTTTTTAGAGATATTCGACTTTCTTTCTTGTGAGTAATATAGCATCAAAATAACGTGTTGTTTGTGATTAAACAAAACAAGATATGCAAGTTACATGGTGATTGGCTTAGTCATAACATTTTCATGGATCATCCATTATTGTGTGATTGAACCTTCATAATTAGGATTTTTTTAGATCATCCATTATTGTGTGATTGAACCTTCATAATTAGGATTTTTTTAATTTTTTTATAAAACTAATAATTGAATAAGAGTTTTGCCGTCTATTATAATTTCGTGTATCCACTTGTTTGCTATTAGAGTTTGCCCTAACACATCCTTACAAAACCGGTTGATAAAGTGAGGGGTGTCACTCTATATAAACTATTTCAATACTCTATCTCCAACCAATATGGGACTTTAGGATCTTCCTAATATTTGCACATTCAAGAGATCGTGCGTTAGATGCTTCCAAATAAATGCCTATAATCTCAAGTTCTAGAAATCTTCACCACTCCCTCTAAAACCTACAAGCCCCCTTCTACCTCTTACAAATTCTCTTCTTCTAAAGGCTTTGTTGCTTGATATAGAAATTTCCTTCTCATGTAACCATCTAACTCTATGTTTTTTGTTTGAAAAAATAACACTAATCTAGTTCGAGCCATCCCTTGCCCATACTAATATACAGACTTTTGGTTCTTTTACGACATCTAACATGTTTGCTTTCAAGTTGAAATTTGTTTCTCAAATTAAGTAGGAGTTCATAGGGTGTTGTTTAGAGTGGAGAATGTTGATTTATGGGGATCATATTGGAGCAAAAACGAACAAAGAAAATTTGGTATCATATTTTAACATAAAATCTTAAGGATTTAAGTATGGAGACCCTCTTACTAATATTTGCTTATCATTGCTTTTGTTTATTTAGTATGTAACTTTTAATTGTCAAGATAATGTTTTTTTTTTTTTTTTTTAATGTTGAATGAATTCAAACTTGAATTGCGAATGTAATTATTTTTTTAATATTATTTTAAGTATTTTTAAAATATCTTAAAATTAATGCGTACGAATATCAAGATAATTTAATATATATTTAAGTTTGTATAAGATTAATGAAAACTCTTATGTAGGAAAGATAAAATCAAAAATTTGTAGTGAAGATGGACTTTTGTTATATGATTTTATGAATCTGAAATATTATAGGTTAAGTGGCGTTGTTTCACTAGGTTGAAATCTTTGATCAGCAACACTTCATATCAGGTGTTGCATCTATTGCAACATTTTACAAAGTGTTGCTATTTTTGAATTCAAAATAACAAATTGAAGCAATAACTGCTAAAAATAGGAGCAATAACCACCACCACATGTTACAGTTCGATAACGTTGTGAGTGGCCCATTTGTTCAAGAGCCGGAGCCGAGGACACCGGAGAGAGGGAGTGTGGAGGAGAAAGTTGACATAAGACTTAAGACTACCATACTTGCTCATGTGACACTTTATTCTCTTTACCTCTTATGTTGAGTTAATAAATGCAACTCTTTATAAGGACTATTAAAGTGAGTGAAACTTTCTACGTGGGACTATTTCTCATGCATTGATTGTTCATTTACTGACTTACATATTTTCTTGTCATTTTAGAACATACTCATGGCCATTCATTATTATTATTAATTACAACAATTTCTCACTTGTCCTAATAATGACAAGATTAAAACTAAAAAAAGAAACAAATAATATTAATACACTTAAGTATCTTTCGATTTGAACTTAATATTAGTAAAGACAACATAAAGTCTAATCGAAATTTTAGGTAGCAATGCTTTGAATCTAATATTCCTTGTTATTAGACCGGAGTTATCTTACACAAATTCTTTAATAACTCTTTGCCCACATTTCTCATCTAGCACAATTTATGGACATGTACTTTTCCTGTTTCATGAATTTATCATGAGAGAAACTCCAATTCTCACTTTGAGACGACACCATATCGAAACTCACATAGGGGAAGTTCATATTGTATCTACTTTGCTAAAAATACATATTTTCGATATTGAACTTCATTAAGAGTTTGAAAACTCAATCCTCCAAATGCAATAGTCAACATTATTACATAATATTGCACAAACATCTAAATCAATGAGTTGTTGTTACCCATTGAATCTTGAGGTTGATGTTATCTTAACGTTTGATTGAGTTGCTAGTATAATTGAAACTCTTACTCAATGAGTTTAAATCTCATACCTCTTGAGGTAGTCTTTACTAAATCTTTGGCCAATAGTTTAGAAAATGAATCAGCTAAATTATAGCTTGAACGTATATATGTGAGTGAAATGATTCTATCCTTAATCAATTTTCTCACAAAAGAATGTATAAGACCTATGTGTCTAGACTTTTCATCATACATTTTGTAATATCCCATATTCCCTTAAATGCTCAATTAGTTGTCAATTGAGACCAACTGTGTTTCTATGTACTCTATCTCCTATAAGTTAGAACAATTAGAGCTCTTATGTGCTCTAAGTATTGTCAGTTGGGACCAATAGAGTAATCAGTGAACTCATAAGAGATCAATTATTATTCAAAGAGAATGACCATTATTAATAAGTACAAGAGGGGATATTTTGGTAACATTAATAATTGGTCAATTGGTACTGAAAGACAAAATATTAGTTAGAGATATATGGTGAAAAGGATATGTAGCTGAGAAGGAAAGAAAAGATAAGAATAAAAGAAACGAAGAAGTCGATAAGAGAAGAAAGAGAGAGTTGACGAAAAGGAGGAAAAAAGATAAAAGTAGAAAAGAAAGAAAGAGAAAGAAGAAGGAAAGAAAAAGAGAAAGCTGTGGATTTTCATCATGTCCACCATATCATCATCAACAACTTCATCTCAATTTCATCATCTTCTTCTTTAAGATGAGTTCCATAGATAGAATTAGCCTTAGGTGGGAGAATTTCATGAAGGGAAACTAGGTTTTTGGATGTTGTTGTTGTAGTTGTTGTTGATTATAACATGATGATATTCTTGTTTCTATGTTGTTGTTGTTATTGTTGTTTTTGTTGTGGTATTGATATTATAAAATTGTTGTTATTATTGTTCCTATTGTTGTTATTGTCGTTTTCTTTGACTACATGTTGTTTTAGGCCATTGGATGCATCAAAATGATGATTGTTAGTATTTTTCTCATCTATATGTGTCCAGATACTGTTCTGGATCTCTACAGTTTCCTACAGTTTTCTAAGCAAAGTCATGGGAAGTCTGTTACTGACTTGGTTCACTAGGAGTTCTCTCAGCAAAGTCTGTTCGTTGGGAGTTCGATGGAGCTCGCTAAGCGAACTTGATTGCATTGAGAAAAATGCTCAAAATGAGGCTTGGTCGAAAGTGTTGGAAAGATCTTTCAATGTTCTATTTGATAGTCAGGTAGAAACATGGTGTTATGCCAATGAGTGATAGGATATGGATGAAATTAAAGTGAATGTAATACCTCGGTTCTTTTTTCTACCATAAAACGAGAATAGTAGTTTCAATTGATGCGAGAACGGATGTGTTAGGAAGTTAACTTAGAGTGCTATGAAGTGTATTATGAATTGTTGGTTGAACACTATGATTCTTATTTCCCCCATAATTTAGGAATTGATAATTTGATGGATACGAGACTAAAGCCATTGAAAGGCTAATCCAATGGCCTATGGCATGGTAATGAGAAACCTTAATTCCTAAACCAAGGATGCTTGGTGAATAATGATAATTGTTTATTGGTCTTATATGTGTTGTTGTGTATGTTTGATAATTGTTTGTTTGTGCTTAATAAACTAAAATATGGATGAGTGAGGACAATTAGGATAGCATCTAGGTGAATGAATTAGTAACAAAACTTAGGCTAGGATGAAAGACTTAGTTGGCGATATTCAAACGCAAGGATACCTCGGTGTGTATCGTGGATGGATAGTTACTACCAATAAATTAAATCGTGAAATAATGTGCTTTATATGGAACATGATGTTTGTGTGAGGGTGAAAGTAATCACCTAGTGATTTACAGTTAACCACGTTGCTTTTAACAAATTAGTCATATATCGAAAGCAACCCCTTGATTGTGTTGTCCCAAGTTGCGATACTCACATAGCTTAAGAATTGGGATGTACGCACTGATACTTCATTTGACTTGGGTTAGAGTCCCAAGTGAAATGGATCCCAAAGTGGGGGAGTCTTATATGCATAAAAGGCTTGAAATGGGTTTGGAGTCCCATAGGGACCGATAATTCTTAAAGTAGATGTTATTACTTCGAATCCAAAACCTGTGCGTCAGTCGAAGTATGATTCAAGGATTCGTGACGCGTGTTGATAATCCTAGACGTAGGTCATAGGAAAGATACATTGGCATGGTTTCCGATTAGTGATTATTTGATTTGATATACTCAAGAGACATGTTTCCATACAATGTGATAATCCCCTAGTTGTTTAAGTCCTTATAATTTGAAGACTTGACTTAGGACTTGATTAGAAAACCCTGTAGAGCCTAGTGGACCCATAGGATAGGGGAACTCGCTAAGATTATTATCTCATCCCATTATTTTTGTTGCTTTATAGGTGTTGTTTATAGGTTGCATGCAAGAGAGGTTCTCTATTGGTGTTTCAATGGATTCTGACTGTTGTGATCTTCCGTTGTGGATTATGTGCAATGAAGAGATTGTACATAGATCTTATT